ATCAGAATGCTGGTATGGTAAAATTCTGAAATGATTGCCAAAATTCCATGATATCTGAAAACATGAAGTGGCCATCGATCGTGCACCAGACAACTAATATGAGCTGGTTCAAACCTGGGCTCTGGGGCGTTATGTTAGAAATTCCGAAAGTCAATATAAATTTGTCTGAATACACGCTTAGGCACCACATGAACTGACTACGATTTCAATCGAAATTTTCTGTAATCTGTATTCCAAAACGATCATATTCAATTCTAGGTTTGAGAAAAATGAAAATGAAATAAAGAAATTGTTTGACTATCGTTGGTGAGTCTCATAGTTTAATGAAAAATACATTTTTCCACCATTGAGCTAACACGTAGGGGCGATGATGCTAAGGACTTTTGGTTATGCCAAGAAATAACCCTTGGGCTGATGTTATCTAGGACTAGCAGCAGCGCACGCTATATGTGGCCGGCTAGTACTCGTCGTTTGGGTGTAAAGGTCTTGTCACTGCTATCCCGCCCTCTCATATGCATCACCTCTCTTATAAATTGAGCGTGCTTGCGACAAACAAAGGTACGATCAAGGCACGACGAACACCTAGACACGCACATAACAACCGGACGGAGAAACGACAGTCAAACAAAAGTATTGCACATTCCATCAGATATATGTTGCAGCCACTGTTGTTATTCTGGCTGCATAGCCCACCCTGCCTGCGATCATCTTTTCCAAAAAAATTATTATTTTTGATGACCCCATTCGCTAATGTCTTAAACACCTAGGACAGCATTGAGGTAATAATAATATAATATATAATAATATTTATTACTTAAAATCTACAAGATACACGAAACGTAAAAAGACGATAATTAAAAGGGACACTAAATTTATGACTAAACTCGGAACATCGAACGCAAACCTAAATCGAATTTACATTTAACAAATGGACTAAACGAAAAGCTTTTAAACGCGCAGCTGCACTTCAGAAAAGGTAAACAAACCGAACTATTGGGGCGCTTGAAAGTGCATCTCTTAAATTGTTGTTGCTAAGCTTTGCCTAAGCATTAGATGCGCTAACAGGCGCGCATGCGCCGAAGCAACCTCGCTTGGACGAAGCTAAACTAAAACAAGGAAGAACGCTATAGTCGAGTACCTCGACTATCAGATACCCGTTACTCAGCTAAAGGGACCAAAGGGAAATGGAGATATGCAAGCAGCAAAGCGAGATTAAAATACGCCACCTACCGGCGGTAGACAGATTTAAGCGTTATGGGCGTTAGAGTGGGCGTGGAAATTTTTTTTGGATCAATCTATAGGTATTGACGAGACCAACACATTTCAGTTAAAATTTTTTATCTAGCACGAAAACTGTGTGCGTCACAGGTTTGTGCGGTTTGTGGGCGTGGCACATTGCTGAAACAAACTTACGCTGCGTAAGAAGCTCAGGAATCTGCACGCCAAATATATAGCTTCCGAAATCTCAGCGTTCATCCGGACAGACGGACATGGCTAGATCGACTCGGCTAGTGATCCTGATCAAGAATATATATACTTTATGGGGTCGGAAACGCTTCCTTCTGCCTGTTACATACTTTCCGACGAATCTAGTATACCCTTTTACTCTACGAGTAACGGGTATAGAAAAAACGCGTATAGGAGCGGGGTGAGGGGCATGCAGATAGGCAGATATTCAGACAAAAGCAAATATAAGGCCCTAATAAGATATTCAGACAAAAGCAAATATAAGGCCCTAATATTTGCTTTTGTCTGAATATCTTATGCATGGTTACAAAGGGACTTACATGCTTTGTTGCGATCCCCGATGAAAGCGCTTCCAGTCGATTTCCGCTGTAAATTTCTTTGGGAGAGAAAAATTAAAGGTCTAAGGCCCTTATTTGCCATGCCTCACAAAACTACAACCTTGACACAAAAAAGGAAGTTGAGAGCTTATTATTCTCTGTGCATTTGCATTTTCGCCTAAGCGCCGTTAGCTGGACTGACGATTTGTGGGGGTCTGTTACAAACTGTGGCAATTTGAGCCAACCCCTTGGTGGGGAAAAGCGACTCGGTGCTCCCAATATTCTTTGCGCTGCCAGATAAAGTCGTTGTTTGTTGTAGGTGTTTGAATTGAACATTTTCATTCCCTGGACGAGATGTTCTAAGAACTGCAAATTGATTTGTTTTTTTTTCTAATTTGCTGTCCTACCAGCTTTTTTGACTATCTCACCCGAAGGCTTTGCCCTACCAGCGGACTGGTTGCTAGTGAGCTCAAGATCCGTTGGTTTTATTGAAAAAGATCAATACAAAACAAAGAACTATAACTTGGACTGACTTTAAGTGGGCGAACAATTTTCTTATTACCGCACTTTGCACTGCCACTATGAAATCACTTTTCCGGGGCTTGTGCCCGCGGTGCGCAGCTTTTATAGGGACGCCGCTTGACCCATTTCCCCACAATAGAAGGAGAAAGCCTATCATCACTTTCAATCTTTTTAGACCATGTGGTGTTTGCCCACTCAGGCTTTGACCCTTAAATCTCCCGATCTCCACAAGAGAGGGGATAGGCGCTCATCGAATTCCCTCGCTTAAAGGTTGAGTTGCTAAGCGTCAACAATATGTTGCGATGCTTAGGCACATGCTTCGGGAACATTTTCACCGCAGCATTTGCATTTGTATCTATACAATAGCTACAAGCTCCCAACACAGTTTGCTAAATTCTAAACGATTTCTGTATCGAAGTCATATCTGTTATCGCTACCGAGATCTTGTCACCGAACTTTGTACCGAAAAGAAAATTCTAGAGTGTGTGAAAGGATTTGAGAAATTAGGATTCCTGCCAAGTTTTGGAGCAATGAGTAATGTGTAAATATAATTTTCATGCAATAATAATAATTATTCATTTCAGATGATTGTCCAACCAATTACTACAATTACATAGGATGGCATTCCCATACCTTGTTTGCTTTAGTTGATAATAGGTATGTCATTACAGGTACCGAATTCTTTACGTTAATGTTGGACGCCCAGGGTGATGTGACGACTCACAAATTTACCTGCAGAGCAAGCTGAAAACAATGTTGGAGCAGCCAGCATGCCAAAACGATACGTGGAACTCCGATCCCAGTTGTTGTCCTTGTCAGCTCGGCATTTAGGTTTCCTAAGACGGTTATGAAGCCATATCCCTATTCACTAGATCCCTGCAAGCATTTTCTATCGCGGAAGGCACTATTAAGTGACTACGGCGACACTTTTAGAAGTTACTTCGGCGATTTCGCATTCGGATCGCCGAAGCGACTCCCATCGGGAAGAAATGTGCCACTTCGGCGACACTTCCCGAAGTTACTTCTGCGTTACTTCTGGAAGTGTCGCCGAAGTCACTTTTGGAAGTGTCGCCGAAGTCACTCATAGAAGTGGCGCCGAAGTGGCACATTTCTTCCCGACGGGAGTCGCTTCCGCGATCCGAATGCGAAATCGCCGAAGTAACTTCTAAAAGTGTCGCCGTAGTCACTTCTGGAAGTCACTCAGAAATGACTTTTCATTTGCTTGTAGAAGATACCTAGAAGAGTCTTTCCCAATTGGAAAAACTTAAAAAAAACATATTTTTGTATACTTTCAATGTTTTGCATTTATTTTGTGTATAAGGGCTTTGTCCGCTTGTATACACGGTCCCTGGCATGTAGGAAATTTTTGCTGAACAATTTAAGTCCAGTTCCGTCGACATAAGAAAATTATTAATAACCATTTCTAAAAGAAACAGAAAAAAAAATTGTTTTTTGTTCAGTTAAAGTAAAAATAAACTAGAAGCCATTACCTTTTACAATGAAATATGTTGAGAATCGTTGGATGCTGGGTTTCTCCGCAGTTACACGCCAAGTAATGTCCACAGCTTGCTTGTCCGTAAATATTAAATCTGTTAAGCAATTAAACTCATTTAGAAAAAAAACAAAGCTATATATTTAAAACGCACAAATTTGATACAAAACCGAACTGTCCAAAGGCAAATCGCGCAATGAAATGACGCTCGGGCGAAAATTGGGTCAAAAGGAAGACCCAAAAAATTTTCCGAAAAAAAGGAGTAACGGAAAATTACCGCGACCTCTTTTTATCGGGTGTCTTTTCCCACTAATTTAGTTTTTGTAAAATGTGTACTATCGTCTTTCTATCGCGCAGAAGTGTCTCAGAAGTTACTTCTTCGCAATCCCGACCCTTTGTCGTGACCTGCTTTTTACGCAGTGTAGGTGCCGGCTAGTCATCGACCGTCCCAGGGAGGGGAACAACCAACAACAACTACGCAGCAGACAAAACAAAAACAAAACGGAAATTCACACTCGGACAACGGCAATCTTCACGACGGATTTTTCTTGAACATCTGGACTGGACAACACAGCTCTTATCGTGGTCCTGGAGTCCCTCCCAACCATGAGTGTATCCTTCAACATTTTGGACACATCTCCCAATTCTGTTTTGTGGGTCTTGCTACCTCGCCTAACTCATCTCACCCCCAACACGAATTTCTATTCACACTTCATTTCGTTTTCACATTATAACATTTAACATTTAATAATCCTACCTACGGTACCGAACTTTTACAGGGAATACATATATATATGAATCAATAAATAAATAGCAATAAACAATGTTCCAATAGTTTTGGGTTTGAGTAAATAAATAGGTTAAACAAATAAATAATTTAAATAGATATTGTTGCAATTGGAGTCGAGTGGGAGCGACGTTATCGATAGTTTAGGTCGATAGGGCGATAGCTGCAGCAGCGGGATGAGTCTGGCGGGCGATCTGGCCATTTGAAGATTAATCCCGGTTCGCTCTGGGATTACTTCAAATGGCCCATGTATCCAATGACCCAATGTCGAGAGAGGCCATGTAATATGGCGGGGGGCGATGATCAGCAGATATCGTGATAGTCGCGGCCATACTGTCCAGCAATCAAGGCAGATGCAGCTAGGAGTGCTAGTACAAATTTTCTTTGTGCCTTAAATTAAATAGTGAGTTATGTGAAAGTTCTATAGTAGTTCGGTATTTAATATTTATCATTTATAAAGGCAGCCGGGGTCCCAATACAAAGGGCCCCGGAAGAATTTATTTGGAGTTTTACCGACATCGCCATACTTCGCCATACCTACCAGCCCGACTTGGCTGCCCAGCAACCGGTGTCCGTTCGACCCGTGCCAGCGACCAGCCAGGAAAGCCTTCCACGATCGACGCCGACGACGTCAACATTTCCCGGTGAGTCCGTTCCGGCGTACCGCGTCCTCATCCTCTCGCGAACTTCCAGCGGTCGCATTGCGGCGCTGAGAAGTATCGCCATTTTGTCTGGCAGCCGAATCTCGGACTGCCCGTGCACCACTCACCGGAGAGCGCCGTTTTCCCGTGTGGAGATCCGTATCGCTGCTGGCCGCCGGCAGAAAGTCATCCGCCCGGGCTATCATCGCCTCCAGGCCCGGCCCAACAGTGGCTGAAAATTAGCAGAAATTAAATACACGTGTACATCGATTATATATATTGATATCTACTTACCTGTTTGTGAGTTTATCCGGAGTTAGACCCGAGAGCCTTATTTGTCCTCGTTGTTTGCCTAAAATTTAAAAGGTCGCGAGCATTAGTTAAATGGTATAGCTTACAGTGCATTTACGTACCTTTTTGGCCTGTCCCTTCTTTTCCCTTGGAGCTCCTCAGGATTAGGTGACCATACACACGCGCATCGCGCAATACATGGCTGGTAGAGCATAATTTCCGCGGCGCCTGTACCCTTTCCCAGCAAAACAAATCCTCTGCTTTGACCGCGTAAATATCCGAGACGGCGGACAGGTTTCGGTCTTAGAGGCTGAGGAAGGATAAATCTGTCAAGAGAAGCATGTGTATAAATGATTGTACTTACCATATTTATTAAACCTTTGTAATACCCACTATGTGTGAATAAGCTTACCCAGTGGGGGAGATGGAACCGTAGCCGTAGTCGCGAGGAGGGGGCTCCTGCCGACTGCGAATGGGTGGTGCCCTGCAGCATCTTGAGGGCATCCATGGTTGGGTGGGAGCGCTTGGCTAGGTCACCGATAGCCACCAAATGTAATCCATTTTCCCCGTCCATATTTGTAGATTTTTGCTTTGTTTACGTTTTGTCCTTAGTGATGACCGATAGATTAGTAAAGTGAGACCGCGAAGTTATCGATACTTATGTTGCGAGCTGTGGCATTAGGGGTACTCTGCCCTGAAGACGACTGAGCTAGCGGCACTGCCACCGAAAAAAGCAGTTCGTAACAATATAAGTATGAATAAACTAGTTTGGGCGGGTTATATAATCATACATCATAGTCTCATACATAATTAGTCTCAATTTTTTTATTTTTGCTCACTGGGTTTGCGGCTTGCAGTTTCGGGAACAACTATTTTTCTTGGTGGCAAATATAATTTTAAGGGGCGAATAAAAACATGTGGCCACCCGGGGATGAGTGACCAATTTTCTTGTCGAAAATTTAGATATCCTGGTGGCTGGTCTTCGTCTTTCCTTACGTAAGTCTGTTTTCCTGATCCAGGCTTATCCCTCACAGAATGTACTACAAATATTTATCTGTTAACTCCACTCACATCAACAAGTATTTTTTTATCACTCACTGGGTAGGAACTTGACTTCTGCTAATGTTATATTTTTTCCAACAGAACCGTCTGCGACCAATTACTTTTGCCCTTTAATCACCCTTGCTTGTTTCACTTTTCCAAACCTCTATCCGCCAAAAAAATCACTCAAACTTTTCGAATTTAAACCTTGGTTCATTTGGAAGTTATCCGGTTTAATGAACCAGTTCCATAACTCGCCTAAGCTGCACGACTCCCTGAGCTCACGAGTCGTCAATAGTCGTGTATCGACATTTCGCCTATCGTTATCAGTCTTAATTAGAGCTGGAGAACAATCGATGGTGGGACTATCGATGGTTTAAAAAAAATTAAAATAAATAAATAAATAAAAACGCCAAAAATTCATATTTTGAGATCAAATTCTTTATAAGTCAAAATTCTTATTAATAAATAACAACTGGTCTACAGTTTTGGACTTCAGCGCGCATCGACGGTCTGAAATGATTTGTCCTGCCTTACTAAAAGTCCTTTCGGAGGCACAGGAGGATGCTGGGACGCACAGATATTTTTTAGCGAGGGCCTTGAAGGCTTGAAAATCATCATTGGTCATCTGAAAAAGACTTTTTTGGTTAATCTGTACAAATAGTTATACATGTCTAATACTAACCTTCCAGTGTAGTAATCATCGTTTTTTTGCTCAAAGTACTGCCGCATTAGTATTATTGAGTCTGCCCTGTTTGATGTAACTTTATTAGACAGTTTACCTTGCAGGTAAGGATAAAAGCTTGCTTGTGGTGGTGCTGGAGCTGTGGAACTAGCATTCGAATTCATAGACAATATTTCGTAGAGCTTCAACTCCAAAGCCTTAGCAGCTTGTTCAGCATTCGATGGTAGAAAAAAGCCTTCGTTTTTGAAGCGTGGATCTAGCAGTGACGCAATTCGTTCTTTGATGCGAATTTTGATCAAGTCATGAGCATCCTGAGCCGCTTTCGAAGAGCACTTTATTAAATTCATTTTTTGATACAACTCGGCAATTATTGGTATAATTAGTGATACAGTGACAGTTTTATCCGCTGGGGCTTGTTTGCTTGCATCATTATTGCGCACAGTTCTTTTAAAATCTCAACTTCTTCAATTGAAAATGGCTGTGGGGCCTTTGCTGTGTTTACCAAAGCATAGGAAATAGCGTCATGAGTCTTGATGATTCTTTCCATCATAAAAAAAGAGCTGTTCCACCTTGTAGGATCTTACTGTATTAAAGTATGTGGCACACTTACGGCCTGCGCTATCTTAAACTTTTCAGTAGCTATTGAGCTGCTTTTAAAAAAAGTTACGATGCGTTTACACTTGTTCATAATCTCAGAAAAACTTTGCACTTTCAATACCTCCTGGACGAGCAAGTTTAAAGTATGTGCGAGGCACGGCAGATGTTTAATTTTAAGGAGATCGCAAGCTTTTTTCATTGTAGCATCATTGTCCGTCACTATCGTAGTAATCTTGTGCAGCACGGACCATTCTAAAAAAATGTCCTGTAATGTCTCCGCAACATTGGCGGCAGTGTGATTGGTTGGATTTAAAAGCTTTCTGGTGGCAAGGACGGCCGATTTCATTGAAAACGTGGATTTATAAGCATTACACATGCACACATACACATACACACACATGTACAAGAGAGAGAGTTGTGAAAGCAGAGAGTGCGGACGCGTTCTAAAATCGCTCCGTTTATTCCTTGAAGTTTTCAGCTTAAAACCAGAAGCGCAGCCGGCCATCCGGCGTGGAGCACTCGGGACACGCACCCGGACATCAGCTGGTGGACGGGAGGCCGTGGACGACATCCAGGAGCAGCTTGGGAATCTATCCCCAACAGGTTTGGCGGCCAGGCAGGGGCCGGTCGTAGATGAGGGAGGGGAGGCATCTCTGCCTCTTATTACTTTCCACTCGTTGTTTGTTTAGCAGTTGCCAAATTTTTTCACTCGCGCTTTCTATTTTTGCAAACACTGAATCAGTGGTGGAAAGCGCTTGCGCGACCAGCTGATCGTAGTGTGCGGGTAAAAGATCCAAGCTTACTGCAGTACCATCGAACTCCCCAGGCGGGGAAATGGCGGGCAGGGGATCGGGGGCACAACACCCTGGCGCTAGCCTAGGGGTTGGGCCAACCAATAGTGGAGGCACGCCGGCAAACAAAGGCCTGGCGGCGCCGGCTAATGCCGACGGCTTCCACACGCCTTTGTCCAGTCTACCTGACTGGGCCAACACGGGAGCTGACCCTTTTAAAAAAAGCAGTGTAATGGCGAGATCGCCAGAAAAAAGGGTGGAGTGCAGTGGCAGGCAGCCTGGCACCCCCCAGCAGGAGATAAAAGCAGCCCAAAAGCTGCAGATGAGGAGCAGGGGGATGAGGGATATAGTCGACGAAATCGACTATCTCCAGAGGGAAGTCCTGTCGGCTGTGCAATGCATAGTCGAAGAACAGGAAAAAGCTAAGGAGATAGCAAAAAAAACCTGCGCAGAAGTGCTCGCGAGCGGCACCAGCAAGCGACCCAGGGGTCAAGAAACTGGGATGACGCTAGCGGTACCAGCGAAAAAGGCGATGCATAAGGCACCGGCAAGTGATGCCAGTCAAGGTGTAAAGAAAGGGAAACATGCTGGGACAGTTAGCACCAGCAAGCCCCAAAAACCTGGGAAGAAGCCAGAGGAGTGGACACAGGTGAAGCAGAAGGTCCGGAAGCCCAAGGTGCGACCGCCACGGAACGACGCGATAGTCATCGCAGCCTCTGCTAGAGGGTCCTATGCCGACATCCTTAAAAAGGTTAAGGAGCTAGGACAAGCAGTACAGGCCGTTAGGCGAACAGCAAAGGGGGAACTCCTAGTGATTCTAAACAAGGTCTCTGACCCTAAAACCGTAGAGCTTCAGACCACAATGAAGGCTGCCCTGGGCAACAATGTCGACGTCAGAGCGCTGACTGAGACAATGCTGATCGAGGTAAAAGACATCGATGAGACCACCGACAAAGCAGACATCTTATGTGCGGTTCAATCACAATTTGATGTGGAACTGCCAGAGTCCGCGGTGGTAAACCTAAGGGTGGCATACGGAGGCACCCAAACCGCCATACTAAGAGTTATGCCCGACATAGGGAGGCGACTCTTGGAGAAGGGCAAAATAAGGCTGGGATGGACCTGGTGTAGAGTCCGCCCAAAGCAAACACCTAAAAGGTGTTTTAAATGTATGGAGTTTAACCATGTAGCAGGGAATTGCAGGGTCCAGGAGGACTGCTCAAAATGCTGCTACAACTGTGGCGCAAAGGAGCACCAAGCCAGAGGCTGCAAAGCAAAGGCCTGCTGCATGCTATGCAAACGCAAAAAGGAGAAAGATTGCGATCACCCAACAATGAGTGGGAAATGCCCGTACTTCAGGAGGGCTATGCAAGGGCTTAGGGGTAAATGAAGTTCCTTCAGATTAACCTAAACCATTGCGAGGTTGCCCAATCGTTGCTAGAGCAAAATGTCATCGAGAAAAACGTAGACATGGCACTCATAAGCGAGCAATACAGGAATAAAAATTCCGCAGAATGGGTAACAAATAATAGCAAAAAATCGGCAATATGGAGCTGCGGTAATCTAAGGCGACAGATTAGCAAGAAAAAATGCGGAAATTGCTTCGCTAGGGCCCAAGTGAATGGTATAGCTTTCTATAGCTGTTACCTGCCGCCAAGCCTTAGCCTCCCCCAGGCAACATCTGCGCTCGAAGAGATTGCAGAAGACGCCCGGGAAAATCGCCCCGCCGTAATTGCCGGGGACTTTAATGCCTGGGCTACGGAGTGGGGCTCCCCCCGAACCAACGCGAGGGGAAAGGCGCTACTTGAGAGCTTCGCCGCACTTGACCTAGTGCTGCTGAACTCTGGAACAAAACCGACTTTTTCAAGAGCCGGCACCAGTTCTATCATTGACCTCACATTTGTGAACACTGGATTGGCCTCGGGCTCCAGCTGGGAGGTTAGTGACACCTACACGGGTAGTGACCATGCAGCAATAATCTGCACGATAAATTCTAGAAGTGGCCCACCACGAGTCCCTAAGACCGTGCCAGGGTACAAAATAGAAACACTAGACGTGGAGATGGTACAGATGTTGTTCGAGGACCTCTCCACAAGCGGCTCAGCTGAAGAAAGGGCAAACCACATCGCAGAGTACACCAAGGTAGCCTGTGATGCATCTATGCAGAGAAGAGGGAAAAACCCATCAAGAAGAAGACCTGCATACTGGTGGAACCAATCCATTGCGGAAGCCAGGAAAGACTGCCACAGGGCAAGACGCGCATACCAACGCTCAAGAGGAAGGCCCGAATTTGAGGCACTCCAAATATACTTCAGGGAAAAGGGACGAGCCCTGGAAAAAACTTTAAAAGAGAGCAAACGCAGGTGCTTTAACAATATCTGCGAGGAAATAGACTCCAACCCATGGGGCTTCGCATATAAACTCGTCACAAAACGGCTGCGGGTATTTAGTCGGCCATCACCGACATGCCCAGTCAGCCTAAAAAGGATCGTGGAAACACTATTCCCAGAGCAAGAAGGTATGGCGCGGACCTCACTGATCGTGAACAGGGCGAGCATAAAGCTCACAAGTGCCGAAGAAGTCCTCCAGGTATTGAGGACAATACTGGACGACAAGGCACCGGGACCAGATGGAATCCCGAAAAAAGTTCTCAAAATTGCCATAAAAGCAAATACTAAAGAGTACGTTGACATGTATAACGCATGCCTAACGGAAGGTGTGTTCCCTAGCCGCTGGAAAACACAGCGGCTGGTACTCATACCAAAGGGGGAAAAACCCGCGGAGGAGCCTTCTTCGTATAGGCCACTCTGCATGCTGGACACGGTGGGTAAAATTCTCGAAAGAATAATCCTCTCCGGGCTAGAAGGTGCCCTTGCCGAAACCAACGGCCTCTCAGAGATGCAGTATGGTTTTCGGAAGGGGCTATCCACCATCGACGCCGTCGGTAAACTGTGTGAAATCGCAGATAAAGCCATTGAGGGGAAAAGGTGGTTGTACGGCACTAAGCAGTACTGCTTAGCGGCAACGTTGGATGTAAAAAACGCTTTCAACTCCGCCAGCTGGCACCACACACTAAATGCACTGAGCAACTTAAACGTACCAGTGTATATACAGAGATTAATAGCGAGCTACTTTGAAGGCCGCCTGCTCCTGTACGATACTGATTCCGGGCAATCGACCCACAGGGTCACCGGGGGAGTTCCCCAAGGATCAGTCCTAGGCCCTTTGTTATGGAATGTCATGTACGATGGGATACTTAGGATCACGATGCCCGAAGGGGCACGACTCATTGGTTTCGCGGATGACGTGGCCATAGTGGTTACGGCAAAGAAACTCCCAGATGCGGAAGGAATCTGCAATGAAGCGGGGAAACGAGCAAGCGCATGGCTCGACTCCAAGGGACTCGCCTTGGCAGCGCACAAGACTGAAGCAGTCCTGATAAGTAGCAGGCAGAAAGTGGAGGCAGCTACTATCAAAATTGGAGAAGCCACAATTACATCGCGTCCAAGCCTAAAATAGTTGGGCGTCATGATCGACCACCGGCTTTCTTTCAAAGAACATCTAGCGTACGCTAGTGGCAAGGCAAGTAGGACCGCGGCCGCGATATCGCGAATTATGGCGAACACTCGGGGACCAAGGCAACCAGGACGTAGATTACTGGTTAGTGCTGTCACATCGACGCTGATGTACGCTGCTCCCATATGGGCTCGAGCCACAAAAAATGGAAGTTATATGCAAGACGGCGACTCCGTGCAGAGATTGTGTGCACTACGGGTATGCTGTGCGTTCCGCACGGTATCCCATGACGCGGCGCTGGTAATATCGGGAGGCATACCGATTGATCTGCTGGCAGTGGAATCGGCTAACATCCGCGCGGGCAGCACAGGGGTCGCAACTGCAGAATCCGTACGGAAAAGGTGCAGAGAACTCACCATTGCTAAGTGGCAAGAGAGGTGGGTAAATAGTAGCAAAGGACGATGGACGTATAAGCTTATCCCAGAACTGCAGAGATGGCTGGGTCGGAAGCATGGACATGTGGACTACTACTTAACGCAACTGTTGACGGGACATGGATGCTTTAAATACTATCTGAATAGGTTTAAGCATGAACGTTATCCGCACTGCCCACTCTGCGAGTCGGATAATGAAGACGCAGAACACGTGTTTTTTGTGTGTCCGAGATTCGAAAATGAACGAAGAGATCTGAGCATAAGGGTTGATAGGACGCCAGCCTCTTGTAACCTGGTGGACATTATGCTTGAATCAGAAGTAAATTGGTCTGCGGTTTGCAACATGGCTACAATAGTACTCAAAAAACTGCGCATCGCAGAAAGACTGCGAAATTCCAATAGGATAGAATCCTAGAGAGCCCTAAGGGCATTCCCCCCCCGGCGAAGTAATACCTAACGGCAGTACCGCCGGGGAAGCGGGGAGGGGGTGGAGTTTTTACTGGGTTAGAGTCCCAGACTTCGGCAAGCTAGTTCAGCTCCGAGTTGGCTTTCGATGATTTAAACCACCACTAACACAAAAAAAAAAAACACATGTACAAGTGCCAAAGCGCATTTACTTACTTTTGAGAAACTTGTCCATAATCCATTCCAGGCCACTGCCAGCACCAACACCACCACTTTTAAGCTAATAAAACAATATAAAAATATGTTAACTGTGTAATCAATTTTACTTTTTTATGTACTTACATATTAATTAACTTGTTCGCTTGCCAACGTCCGCTAAAAAAGTAATGGGAAAAGCATAAAGTGATGGGCAAAAAAAAAAGGAAAACCATCGATAGTGAGAAAAAACAATCGACTTTCACGAAATTTTGAGACAATAGATACTATCGATGTTTCCATCGATTGTTCTCCAGCTCTAGTCTTAATGTAAACAGCTTTGCTAAATTCCCAATTTGTGCATATTCTTGTCGTTTAGCACATAACACCTTTATGTTTTTGTAAAATGTGTACTACGTCTTTCTATCGTCCGGAAGTGACTTAGAAGATACTTCTACGCGATACATGTATAATTTGTTTTTTGTAAAATGTGTACTATCGTCTTTCTAGAGCGCAGAAGTTACTAAGAAGTGACTTCTGGACGACAGGCGATAGAACTATCGCCTTTTTGCTTGCAGGGATCTTTCTGCGGAAAAATGAGCCTTCAACTACAATTGTTGAAAATGCCTTCGGACAGTTTAAAGAACGTTTTGGGAGAATCGGAAAGGTCTTCAACAATCAAACCACAAGATCAAACAATTTGATATTATGCTGCTGTATACTCCACATTTTCTTAAATGAGAGCAACAGTGATATTCAATCAAGGTGGACAATGGAACTGGGAGAAGTACGCAATCAACCTGAACATGTGGTGTGAATGGGAAATCGCAACAGAGAAGCCGAAGCTGTTCGTCAAGTGCACTTTAATGTCCAGACCCAGACAACTAGATAAGGTACCGTTGTTTGTAATTGTATTTCTAATATAATTCACAGATCTTTTAATCTAATGGCAAGTAAATAGGTTAGGTTAGGTAGGAGTGGTTGGAGATTAGATACTAATCCCCTCACTTAGGCCACAATGGGCCCCTTTTGATACCACATGATCTCTGAACAGATCCGTTTCCCTAACTCATGGGTTATCTGTTTTCGCGAAGTATTCTGTTCTTCTTAAGAAACATAAGAGTTTTTGGATGCTTACATCCTGAATGGCCGAAAGGTTCGGAAGTGTGTAGCTACCTAGGGTTTGAAAGCGCTTTACATGGCAAGTAATTAAAACATATATAGAAAACATATATACCCGTTATTTGTATAAAGGGTATATTAGATTCGTCGGAAAGTATGTAACAGAAGGGAAGCGTTTCCGATCCTTAGCCGAGTCAAACTAGCCATGCCCGTATGTCCGTCTGTCTGCCAGTCTGTCTGTCCGTCCGTATGAACGCTAAGATCTCAGAAACTATAAATGAGAATGTCAGGACATGGCATGCAGATTCTAAGGATTCCTGCACAAGCGACCATAACGCTGGTGCCTGCATGGCGCCCAAAATTTCGACGATTTTGTAAAAAATGTAAATGAAATTTTGATTGGATTATCAAGATCCTTCTAAAGCCAAAAATGGTTCCTTCATTAAAAAGTAATAAGCAAGTAATGGAATCGCCACTAGGTGGCATAGTTGCGTGGTGAGCATTCTTGTAAACAGCCCCTTTGCTGCTTGCATATGTAAGTAGCTGAGTAACGGGTATCTGATAGTCAAGGCCATCGACTTATCGACTTTCTTGCACTTAAATGTATTCTTTATTAAATAAACTTAAGTTATTGATTTAATTGTACTCTGCTTACTAAAAATTTCATCTGCGCCTAATTCAATTTCTTGCCGTGTTTTTCTGGTTTTTACTTTTAAAACATTCTTTGAAGTTAACAGGCTTGTATAACAAAAACTAGACATATCTATTTGTTTTAAGTTAAAATATCTAAATTTTTTAAATGTTTTTTTTTTTATTCGAAAGCAATTTAACTGCAGAGGAAACGTTGATTAATAATAATAATCAAAGTAATTATAACTAACCGAAAATTTTAATGATGAATCTGGTTACTTATTTCTACATTATATTACTACAATATATTAATACAAGCAAGACCCGCCGCCACGAAAGAATAAGTCCAAAGGAATCACATCAATGTGGCTCAAAGGTTTAAAAACCCGATCGTCTGTTATATTCCATTTAGAGAAACAAGGAAGAACGCTATAGTCGAGTACATCGACTATCAGATACCCGTTACTCAGATAACAAACTTTAAAATGAGTTAGCCGCGCACTTTGTTCTCTCTCCCTTGCTCTCATTTCTCGGCTCTGCTTTTGTTTCTGCCAGCGCCAAGAATGAGAAAGCAAAACATAAAATAGACAAAAAACATTTATATTTATGTATGCTTGCTAAACATACACAATTTTAAGGCACATTCTGTATTTAAAAATATTTGGTTGAATAGCTTTGTTTGAAAGAATTCTATTTGCCGCGGATATTAGATTGCAATTTTTTACGTCCACACACATGCATAAATACATATGTATGTATGTATGTCGTTTTCTGGCTCTATTGTCAAGGCTTGTCCTAACTACTTTGGTTTGAGAGCATTGGACTGAAAACGCAAAAGTTTTTTATTATTCATTGAAAGAGATAAATAAAGATGTACAGATCTTTAAAGGTTTTTGCCCGTCAATGGGACAAATGGAATTCAATAGAATAAGTTAGCCGCGCACTTTGCTCTCTCTGAGCGCCGGCAGCGCCCTTCAGTTCTGCAGTAGGGACGCGGTGACATGGCTCAAGGCAAAAAGCTTTTTTATTTTTTTTTGTGCCTAAAACGCTGTGCCGCTGTTGACGTCAGCAGAGAAGTCGGCGCAGCGTAGAAGACTGCCTACAAAAACGATCGTGCAACAAAGATAGGCAGATATTCGGAAGTTCCCTCTCTTTCTTTGTTTAATAATCTGCCTGCACTCGGCGCTCTCAGAGACAAATTTCGGCAGGTCCGTTATTTCTTTTGAGTCTCTCCGTTATGTCCGGCTAGCGACTAATGTTTCGGCGGACAAATTTTCGTGGCGAAGCGACATGTGAGTGCCCTAATATTTTAGGAGCATTATTGTATATCGAAAAAAAACAACTAATATTGTTTTATAAAAGTAAATTGTTTGATTATAGTAAAATTAAGTAAATTGAATTTACTTTTAATGTTATGCTTACGTGTTATACATTAATATTACAATATAATTTTTTAGTTAAGTTATTGAAATTTAGTTCGTTAAAATGTATTGAAATATTTATAACATTTTAATAGTACCATTTTTGAAGAATTCCTTTTTATATTTTTTACTAAAATAAGTAAAAGTTATGTAGTCGGATATTTTTCGCTTTAGAAAGGGTATAGGTGCAGTGGCACGCGCCTACTGCGAAGAGAAAACAAAAGAAATCATTCATTCTGATTGAGTTATTGAAGCAAGCCATTTAAATTGTGCGCAGCACAAGTCAGTCAGGTAAGTGTTTCATTAAGTTGAAGATGTTGTGCATTGATCTTAGTTTAAAGTATTAAGGTATTCAATGGGTTCCGTAAGCCGAAAGTGGATGATGAAATGTTTTGCGCCAATAAAAATCCTGCAAAGGGTGCAAACACAGCTCTAAAAGGTAAATATGCAAATAAACAAATAAAACGCATTTTTTAAGCATATGACCATAAATTTTATCAGGAGCGTTGGCCAAGGATTCGGAGGACCCGGACAAAGGTTTAAGGAAGGCGATGACCAATGTAAAAAGCAAATTAACGTAACATAAAATTAGGCTTACTAACAATAATTGTCCTTTAACAGAAAACCTAAATAACATTATTTAATTAAAATATATTTAAAAGTATATACAAATTTATGTATTTTAAATTCTATAAGTAAAAACTCATGGGAAAAATTGTGATTTTCACAAGTGATTTCACTTGGGACGTGTCACTTGCAAGTGATTTCACTTGGGACGTGTCACTTGCAAGTGATTTCATAAGTGAAAACTCATGGAAAAAATTTGATTTTCACAAGTGATTTCACTTGGGACGTGTCACCGGCACGTGACAGGCCATACGAAAAATGAGTATAAGGAACAAGTGAAATCCCGTGGGACTTCGAAAAATTTTCACTTGTGAATCACCTTGTGAATCCCGTGGGACATGTCCTCTTGCACAAGTGAAGAACAAGTGACGCTCCATATAGAAAATTGTATGGAATGTCCGCATTTTCACTTGTGAAAATTCAAATGAAAATTATTCGAGAATTATAGAATTTAAAATACATAAATTTGTATATACCCTTCAGTTCCAAAAAAAAAGTTTCACTTGTGAATCACCTTGTGAATCCCGTGGGACATGTCCTCTTGCACAAGTGAAGAACAAGTGACGCTCCATATAGAAAATTGTATGGGATGTCCGCATTTTCACAAGTGAAAATTCAAATGAAAATTTTTCGAAGTCCTACGGGATTTCACTTGTTCCTTATACTCATTTTTCGTATGGCCTGTCACGTGCCGGTGACTCGTCCCAAGTGAATCACTTGGGAAAATCAGAATTTTTCCTTGAGTTTTCACTTGTGAAATCACTTGCAAGGGACACGTCCCAAGTGAAACACTTGGGAAAATCAGAATTTTTCCTTGAGTTTTCACTTATGAAATCACTTGCAAGGGACCCGTCCCAAGTGAATCACTTGTGAAAATCAGAATTTTTCCTTGAGTTTTCAATTAAAAAAATATAGAATTTAATTCATTTTATTTTAATTCATTTTAATTATATGGTACTATTTAGATTTTCAAAAATTGTACAATTATTGTTTCTGTTTTTTTGCTTCGTAAGCTTATTTTTAACGTTAGACATCGCCGTTCTTAAACCTTTGTCCGGGTCCTCTGAATCCTTGGCCAACGCTCCTGAAAAAACATATGTTTAAAAAATGCGTTTTATTTGTTTAATTGTATATTTACCTTTTATAGCTTGTTGCAGAATTTTTATTGGCACAAAACATTTCGTCATCCACTTTCGGCTAACGGAACCCATTGAATACCTTCAAAATTTACGTACTTTAAACTAAGATCAATGCACAACATCTTAAACTTAATGTAGCACTTACCTGTGTTTATTATATTAACTAAACGATTAAAGTAACTCTGCTGCGCACCATTAAAATGGATGCTTCCCTTTCAATCACTCAAACAGAATGCACCAA